AACAATTAAAGTAATCAGAAGCCATCAATATTTACTTCACACAGCAAGTTTTTAATTGTCACTTAAAGACAATCCAACACAAGGGCATAATTTAATTCAATTCAATTTTTAACTAGGGATAGAAAGACTGTTTTGAATTGTTCATCTCAAAATCAGAAATTATTAGCTGCTCTTTAACTTGTCTGGCAGTGAAGTAAACTAACTAGAAATCTTAGAGAATGTGCTTTCCAGGAAACTATCTTGGAAAATGTAATATCTATATTTTTTTAAGCATTCAGTGAAAATGATGGTGAGTTGAATGACTGAACATTCATGAGCAGTTCTCAAACAAGCAAACGGGCAATTTGGCAGTAAGCAGAAAGTTAGGAGAGCTGCTCAATGGAGAATACAGAGCTCTAGGTACAAAATCAGCAGCTCCAGGCAAACACCAGGAACGTGTTCTGCTATAACCATTCACAAAAGGTACGGGGAGGGAGGGAAAGATACATATTCTTTTCCTACCATAAAAGCGTCTACAACGTCCTGCCTAGTGGACTTGTTGAATAACTCATTTGAGATGTCTGGCCTCCAAATCCATTGCTGAGCCTCGCTTGAACTATTTTGTAGGCAGATATACTGCTTAACGCTGTTGTGAGTCCCTGCCTCCACGGCGGCAGAGCAGTCTCTGGGAAAAGGGAGGAAAGGAGCAATCTTTCTTTGTGATGACTCACCTGGAGAGAAACTGGTAGGGCATCGGGACAAAAACTGAGAACTAAAGATGATCTTCCCCTTCCCGCTGCAGGATGTAGTGTTAGGACCCATTGCTGGAGACTGAAGGGGAAGGAGGCAGCCAGAATGATCTTCCCCTTCCCGCTGCAGGATGTAGCTTTAGGACCCATTGCTGGAGATGACTGAAGGGGAAGGAGGCAGCCAGCATCTCTAAAAAACCACTTGCTTAAGAAAATAGCTTTCCCCAAGTATTAAATCTTGAAAGATGGGATAATCTTAGAAAGAATTGGTGGAGAAACACTCATCTCCCCTCATGTCTGAAATCAGGGAGTTTTTTTAAGCCTGGATTGGGACTAACTTTTGGTCAATTAAATTGAACACAAAAGCTGCAATGGAGACGATGGATTTGCGATAACGGACTTTTGGAGAGAGATGACATTACTGCCCGTTTAAGAGGATTTTTCTGTGTATGCCACAGGCAACGAAACTCGGCTGTCATTTTTTTTTTCTGAGCATTCTTACTAATGTCTTAGGGACTTTACATTCTTTTCCCAACAGCTTTCTCCCGATGACTTCTGTAGGGTACCAGCGTCTCCCCTCTGCCTTCAGTGCCTGATCAGCAAGCAAAGAAGCTGGTGAGTGCAACACCTCCAGTCTTTGAATGATGCTAAGCTCCAGATTGATGCCTTTCCCGAAGTGACCACTGCAACAGAATAATCCATCCCCTGTCAGCAGAGACCGGGACCTAGCGCAGAATTAATTGGCTGAAGCTCAAACTCGATAAGCTCAAGATAATATTTATAGGTCAGAGGAAACAATTGAAAGGAACATCAAACACGACACCAGCGTGCACAAACGGTGGAGTTTATCTGCCTCTTGTTTTAAAACCCAACTGCCTCCGCCTGTCACAGGACATGCCTGATGAGGGCAGTTTTCATAAACATTCGTTTTGAATGCCATGTGCCTCTGTCTCTGGCCAAGTTCAGACTCCTTGTTTAATCTGCTATGTACAAAGAGGTTTTGATTGCATGAATGCTTGGAAAATATCTGTTCTTTGTGAAAATATTTGCCTGTGCATCCTAGCAAAGAGGGCTGTGCATAAACACCATTCCCGACAGTGATACTGATGGCTGTCCACACTTCAGAGACACTGCAGCCTCTGCTTTTCCCTCGTTTGAAAAGAGCTGTGAACTGAGTGCCCACCACTCCAATTCATGGGCATAGAGAAGCTTTGCAGAAAGGGGTTAGTTTTAGCAATATACTTGTCATTTGCAAGGAAGTACCATGTACATTAATGCTATTTGTTCAGTATATCCAAAACATCCAAGGCATCTTTCCCAGGTGCCCTAAATTGAAATGAGCCTGTATTTTGTGGTTCGATTACTCCTTTCTCCCTTCCTCCCAAAGAATCCATTGCAGCATTCTTGATAGGACATTATTGTTTTGCAATGTGTTTAAAAGCACTCTCTTAGGGTTTTGCTACACTAGCACACTTCTTTGAGATGCAGAGAAGCCCATTATCAGAGATCATCCTTTAGGGATTCTACATCCAGCAATAATAACTCTCCGTTCGTGGATTACTGTGTGTTTTGATGTTCAGGCTTTGCAAGATGAGATGGAGCCTTTGCTGTTCCACAGGCCCAAATCAGTGTCAAAGGTCTTTCACAAGGCAGGGTAAGTACAAAAAATAATTTAAAAAAAAAAAATCAGCAGCAAAATTCTTATACCCCCTCTGGGTTCACTTGCCATTTAGAAATCGTGAATACTTGTAAATTTTGAGCTGGTTTTATGAATTATTCACAACAGAAAAAGGATTCTGAGTTTCATTTGTACAATGAGAAAACACAGATGATAGATGGTTTCACATGTCCAATGAAAAATCAACTATCACAGCTTAAATTTTGAATACCAATACCAAACTGCTAATGAATAATTTGCAGATCAGGAATTTTTAAGTGAATAATTTTAAACAAATAAATTTGAGAAAATCAGACAAGTGGTTCATCTGCCTCTTTTGGAGCAGCTAATTCGCCCATTCACTCCCTTCTGCAGCTCAGTTGCAGTGATTTGGTTCTCAAAGGACCAAAAAGAAAATGTAAATTGAAGTAAAAAGTGTGCTAGAAAAATGATAGCATGTTACTCTGCCAATTCAGAGTGGCCGGGTGCGTGAGCAATAGGGTAGGAGAAGAGCATCTGTTAAACCCACTAAAAATATAGTACCGGGATCTCATAATCCGCATTGGGAAATGGCTTTGAAGAAAAGAATGGGGCATGGGTAAAAGCTTTATTCACCGAGAACACTAAAGGGAAAGCAATTTTCTTGAGTCAATTACTAACTAAAACGATTCAGGGATGAAGCAACTTTTTGACTAGCTCCGGGGCCTACAAAATATGGGGGTTAAGAAAATAAAATCTCTGGGCCAGTAAGAAGGCTCTGGGGTGGATTTTCTGGGAATAAGGGGAGTCCCAGGGGCCCAGGTCTTCTTTCCCCCACAGCACTCTTCTATGTCAAATGTGTTACGGATACGTAGCAGGGGAGGTTGAAGCCCATTTCCCAGCCCACCTGTGACTGCCTCTAAAATCTGTCATTATATCCACAAACCCCACTATTAAAAAGCAAACATGTGCCTAAACTTTGGGGTTACATACTGACTTTACATTCTCATGCAGTTTCTGTTCCATGGGGCCTTTTCACATGGAGGACAGGATTTAGCTTTGTTTCCATTTTACTCTCTTATCATGCCATAAAGTACATATTTCTAAGATATATTTCATTTTAAACTTTGAATGATGCAGCTGGTCTCCAAACTACTTCAGCAAATTCATTGTACGAACTGTTGTTCCCATCAGGAAGACCCCTACTTAGAGTTGTGACAATATCAAGCCCTCATCCAGCCCTTCTAGTCTTCAGAAGTTCATTAAAACAATAACTCCACTAACAAATTCCTGGAAGCCTATACAATACTTTATGTATTAGTCCCATCTTACAGATGGAGAAACCAGGAAAGAAAAGCTGTGTCATTCCACCTAAACCACAGTAAGCAGAGTTTTCGGGGTTGGGCTATAACTTAGGAACTGGTGGTTTCCAATTTTGTGGTTAAATAATTAAACCAGGCCTTCCTCTTCTGTTGAAGCTATTCTGTGAACAACGAGTGCCTTCCCTTTAAGAGGTTTCCAAGCCTGTATGCAAAGAGGAATTTATGACCTACAATTCATGTAAAGAACTTCCTTTTCATAAATCAATTTATTAAAGCTCTGGTGAAGCTTCCAAAGGCTCTGATCCAGCAGTGCACTTAGACATGTCCATAACTTCAAACAAGTAAATTGTCCCATTGAAGTGCTTTCCTGGACCAGGGCCAAAGAAAGCACAGCTCTCCCCTGAGTCAAGGTTCAGATGTAAAATGGGGAAAAATAATTTATCAAAAGTTTAATAAGTTACACAGTCATGGCAGAGCTCTGCCAGCCTTCCACATTAATACCTCAAGCTAATAAGAAATGGCCTCAGGGAGATAATTGCCTCCTTATTGATAGGCTGTGATGAAACCTTAACCCTCATCAGGAGGACATGGTGTTGCTGGCTTATCCTGAATTTGGCAGATCCCACATCCAGGCAATGTGGAACTTTGGAGGGGACATGCCTAGTTCTAGCAACACTCCTGGGCCATGAGGTCCCTTTTGTTCAACTATTACTTGCTTTTAAGGATTATCCTTGTAGGGCAACTAAGCATAGTGATATTTCAAGGATTTGGAGTATTTTGTAAGGTTTTGTAATAGTGAAATTGCTTTGACAGGAGGACTATTCACGCCTTCTTCTGGACTCCTTCAGTGGTAAATACTTGGGAGATGGTACTGAACATACTGTTACGTGCCCCTGGCAGCCTCTCCAGGAAACTACGCCAAGGACAACTTCTCTAATCTGCTGAAAGACTTGTGTGTCGAGGTCATGTGTGGAGCAGTTGGAGGTAACTGGACCTTGTGCTAGGCAGGAGTGTGGAATGAGATGTTAAATGCTAAAAGAAAAAGAGAGCTCCTAGGAACGAGAAGGGAATGTGACTCAAATTAGCAGGGTGACACCTCTGAGCAGTGATCTCCTCTGCTCTGGCACGCTGATTCCTGGGGATGCAGGGTTACATATCACGTCTCCAGACTTCCTTTGAGGTTAGCTAGGGTTGTTACTGAGAATGAGTGATGGCTGTCGTTTTGCAAACAGAAAGCTGCCAGACTTAACAGCCCGTTCTTATGCATTATAAAATCCAACACCAGAAGCATTTTAGTTCCAAAATGATACTTACATCTACAATTAGGAAGTCAAGCCAGCACCAGGCATTGGTGAAATACTTCTTGAAGCCGTAAGCCACCCATTTCAGGAGCATTTCCAAGACAAAGATGTATGTGAATATTTTGTCGGCGTATTCCAGCATGGTTTTTATGTTTTTTCGATCTTCAAGGTAAATATCTTCAAAAGCCTGGAAGTACAAAAGATCGATTACAAACTTCTACTGAGCTGTGTTGGAAAGCCCTGGTGCTGCGCTATAAGTCTATAGAATTATTTGTCCTGTCTGTGATTTCTGATATATTTTAATGTTACCACCACAATGAGTGCACAGGCACAAATAGGACTGACCCCAACAGAGGTCTGTTCAGCCTTCCCTTACCATAGGCACACGTTTAGCTGTCTCTCTCTCCAGCCTCTATTGTCTGTATTGAGTAGACATCCTTTGAGTGCAGGAGGAGCTCAAGCACCCTAGATCTGGGGACATGCGTGTATGAGCAAGGTGCCACCCCAAGCCGTCCGAGGGCTCCTGTGCTACTGCTATTGGGGCACCTCAGATGCCCCAGGGCATAGGATGCTTGTCTTTAGGAGGCAGAATCTGACTATTGCATTTAGGCAAATACATCTTATTGCTAATGATGACAAATTGGGTTATTAACTTGCTTAAGCCTGCGTTATAGAGTACCACAGTTCCCTGGCTTCTGTTCAGCCATCACATTTAAGGTAGCTACAACTATCTGCCTCAAGAAATACTCATTATTATTCACTTAACAGAACAATTATGTTTTAAAGGTCAAGGTATCCATCTACCCATCTCATCTGTCTCTCTAACTAATCTTACGCAGGGCATCATCAAAGGACTTTCAGTATCTGTATCAAGTACAAGCAACTTAATAACCCCGTTAAAATATTTAAGATATAAAGCAATATGCCCATGAAAACAAAACAAATAAAGCTGTCTCATAATTTAGCTTTGACTTTAGAATATATATGAAATAAAACGCAGGATCCTCGTGTTAAGGTTGCATACATATGGCCCATTTTTGGGGTTTTGAGGAGCGGTTACGGTCTGCTTCCCCTGCTACTGTCATTACACAAGCTGCTCCCGTGTCCCTGTAACCTGGATGACCCAAGCTTTGATATATATTACTCTCGTCCCATCGTGTGACCCGGAGCACTTGGCAGCAAGAAAGCGAAACACTATTTGAGGGGATCTGCGCTAATCTTCTTAATTATCTGCATTTACATATTTCAAGATCTGTAGCTGCTTTCTGAGGAACTTCAGAAAGTTAGCAAACACCCAGTGCCTGGAGATACAAGAAGTGTGTTACTTGTCACTCAAGCAGTCACACTGCTCTTTTGCCTGCCAGGGAACAGTAATTAAACTGACAAGAAAGCTCTGGCACCCTGTGCCAAAGCTTGTCCATTTGTCCCCACACTTTGGGGTGACGTTTTCACTGCAACTCTGTCTCCTATCTTGCCTTCAAAAATGATATTTCAAGGGTGTGAAAGAGCTGTTGGAGAGAGCCACCGAAAACAATACACAGAGAGATGATTGGAGTTTATCGCTTCTTGTAGGGGCTCACTCACTTTGTCAGATGACTTGCTGTACTTTGCAATTACTGCAAAAATAACAACAAACTATTTAAAGCGATTTCCTCCTCTCCCTCCTTTACTCTCCCTATTTTCTACTGACTTGTCAAAAAATATATTGTGTTTTGTCTACTAAAAGCACACTGTGAGTCAGGAAGCAGCTTAATAAGGGATGAAAAATACACTACCTGCGTGCCTCAGGTGCACTGTACTTCTGTATGAGCTATGGATATTACCCAAATGACAAAACTCTGGTGCTTTGCATTGCTTTATGGTACAACGGATGAAATCTTTGCAATATAAAACATCATTAAGGGTTATTTTCCTGCTTTGCTTTGCGTGTTGAAAAAGAGTTAAAGAGGATACCTGCAGTGTTATCCATACTTACTATTAAAACACAGAATCCCAGTTAAGGTGCTTATGGCTTAAATGCATAAGAAAGGGGTTTGGATCTTTTGCAGCAAGCTATAGACATATTATGATGGTTTAACTACCACACACAAATATATACTGGCTTTTAAACTCCCTTAAGAACTTAGCACGTCCCAGGGATGTAGCCAGATGAGCTCAGTTTTTGGAAGAGCTCACCCAAGAATAACAGAAGGAAAAAAGTTGTGTATTCCCTCCAACATCTTCCATCCAAATACTGAAGCACAGTGCTGATATGTGAGAAAATGCAGCATAATTTGCCCTTATACAGAATTGCACTGGTTAAATTGAAAATCGCAAAAAAGTAAATGAATGCATGCAATGAAAATTAAATGAGATTTATATTGCAGCGTTCAGTATCTAAGGCACTTTTAATTACATATGTAAGGAAGTGTATTCATCTAATGCGTGTTATAGCAAGTGACATGCCTCCTTTAAAATGTGTAAAAAAATTAACATGGTGATCCTCAAACTGGTACAAAAACTGGCAGACTACATTAATTTCACCAAAACTATGACACTTTTCAGCAGCCTACTATTTACCCAGTTCTTTAGCCTCTTGCTTTTCATAATAAAATAAAATCCACTGGGTGAAATTTCAGCCCATCCCTGGTGGACCTGGAGAACGGTCCATTCCTTTCCTTTTCCATCAACATTTATTCTTGTCTCCCTGCAGAGACTTTCTTTAAACTACATAAACCCAGTACTTCCTTTTTTCTCTTTTTTTAGGCCACTGATAATTTGTGTTGCTCTCCTCTGGAGTTTCTTCAATTAGCCCATGTCTTTCCCAAAGTGCAATGCCCAGAGCTGAAGCCAGTGCTCCAGCTGAGGCCTCCTTGATGCCAACTGGAGTGGAAGAACATGCTTATTTATACAACCCAGTGGGGTGTTTGGCTTTTGTGCGGTGCTGTGGTGTGCTGTAAGTTTACTCTTATCTTGTTTGTTGCCTGTTCTCTCTACAGCCCTTTTTACTAAATTTTACCTTACCAGCTGTCCTGCATCATGACTTTCTGCCCTAAGGAGGTGAAGCAGGCACCTTTCTAAGATGATGTTCCTCTTACTATTTAAGGCAGGTTTATCCATTTGGCTGAAGTTAATCATCACCTCCAGAAACACACGGATAACCTGTCCAAACATGGTACTGCCTGCAACTTTAGTAGGTGTATTTCTTACTTCATCAGGGAGGAGAAGATCGGTGACCACCAGACCAAAGCCTGGAGAACTCTTGATATATCCCTTTGCTCTATGCCCAGATAAAAACCTGAGACAAATCCTACTAACTTCAGTGACATTCCTGACACATAATTGAGCAACATAAATATGTGCTGCCATCACTATGAAGAGCCCAGGGCGGACAATAGAGAGAGGATAATCCCAGTATGCAGTGGGATCTCAGGAGAAGAGGATCCTTTATCAGAGTCCTGGATAATGACCATCCAGCTTCCATGCATACACATCCATTTGGATGGAAGGAGGAGCTGTATGTGGGGAACATACAGGGGTTTAAGCCAAAGTCTGTTCAAAACATGACTGGCACCCACTAGCTCCATGTGTAGCACTGATTCAGTGCCCCCTGTGATCTTGCTTTGTGGTTACAAAATGTGTTAAAAAAAAAAAAAATAAAAGCCAAAAAAACCCCAAGAAGCCATCCCTGGAGCAAAATACAAGCTCCAGATGGGAACAACCATGAAGCAGTTATGGGACGCTGAACAGTAACTCTGGGATAATTCTTCTCACAGACTTCCTTAAAGATTTGCTTTTCAACACACGTGGACATCATAATTTTATGTTATAACAGCAGACAGTTTCCCCCCCCCATTATGGTAAAGGCAGGTGAAATCGGAAAAGCAGAAGACCTGTTTTAGCCCCAAACATGCTTTGCTTTGAGAAGTGAACAATAGGGCTTCATAAAGACTTAGAGACAGCTATCTGGAGAACACCTTCCCCGAGACCCACGTCCACTTTCAACCAGGTAGGAAATCCTGTAACATTTACCAGGGCTCCGCTGCTCAGCAGGATCATGAATATGATGAAAGTTTCGAACCAGTTGTGTTCGACAATTCTGTAGCAGGTTTTCCGCAGCCTCCACCAAATTTTTCCTGGAAATTTTGTGATGTCCACTGAACAGCATGGGAAGAATCGCACACAAACTGAAAAGGAGCAAAACAAAGTAATTGTGAAAAAAAAAGCCCATTTAATTCTTAAAGCTGCAATAAGGAGCTGCAAATAAAGATTTCTCCTAGAAATTAGCTGTTGCATGGAGTCTTCCTTCCCTTGTTTTTTTCACCAACCTCTTCTCCTCTGCCTTCTGTTTCCCCCTCTCACCCCTCTATTAAAAAACATTCCAAATTACTTAAAATGTGCACAAATGATTTCTCCCAATGATTTTTATGATAGAGAATATATTGGCTGTGAGCCACCAGCACTCCAGTTGATCACATCATGTTAGGTGAGCTCAGGCAGCACCCTTGATCAGGACTAATGACTCCAGCAACAGTCTCCATATCCTCCTGAATGGAAAAAGGATAATTTCTTGGAATTATGGTACCACTAGAATTATTGATTAAAGGTGGAAATCTGATGAAAGGGAGAGGAGGGGAGGAGGTGCTGCAGTGCAGATGGGACCAATGTGCTGAAGAGGCTCAAACTGGAAAAGCAGGAACAGATTTTAATCTCTTGGACTCTCACGAGCTTAAGAAAATAATTACAAAAATACTTCTGGAAAAGATATTTAGGTGGTTAAATCCACTTTGATGTCAGCAGAAATTTAGATATCTTCTCTTACCCTCAGTTTCTGCCCACCGAGGGCTCCCCATAGGTGTTTCATAACACTTTCTGACCCTCTTGATAAATACTTTGTGATAGTTAAATGCTGTGGGTGGTAATGGAAACCAAACATGGATTTCTGATAGGCCAAACCTTGGCCATTTTTAGTCTTTTTAGCAACATCCATTGGTAATGGACAGATCCATCTCTCCCATTTTAAAAAACACCCTGTACATTGCCTTGTGTTGGTTAAGAACTTAAAATTGTGTTAGAGGACACCCTGGTAGCTGGGGCATGTCCTTTTCCATGCTGGCCATTCAGCCTTAAGTCACATAACTTGACTAAAATTTCATTTGCTGGTGAGAATGACACTCAGAAACTATTTTCAAAAAGCAATGGTTTTACCCTACATTTGATACAGGTGTTATATAGAAAGAGACAAAACTATGGAGCTTTATCAGTCCCATCATGAGAAAAAAAATCATGGGCCAACTGCTTCCAAAGCTGAACAGTGTCTTGAAGCATACAACAACTGCTCAGAAGTGACAAGGGAGGACATCTCACCATGGTGATGTAATGCAAAGTTATCGCAAGTAGAAATAATATTTAGGCAGGGAAGCTGGGGAAGGAAAGAGGGTGAGTGCCAAGGTTACGCAGACAGCAGAAGCTGTTAATTCAAGGTGGCATAACAGAGGCGCTTGAGCTGCATGTGATATGGGAGGAGATCAAGTGCAACTCCCGGGATGCCGGGATTCCCAAGCAGCTGGAACGGGGCTCTGCCAGGAAGAAGAGAGCAGCTAAGTCTGCTGTGGTCCTCCTGGCATTTTCTGTAATTTTTTATTAATCCAGTTCCCTGCTATGGAGCAAGAGAGCTGTAGGATGTTTCATACATGAACCACTCCCAGATGTCCCCTTTCCCCCCACATTTCGGAGGTGTTTGGTAGGCGTAGTCTCTTGGATGTATGAGACTTTGGTATGGGACTAACAGGACAGTAAACCATTTATGCAAAGGTAACGGGACAGCTATGCAAGAATCTGTCTGTCCTTGAAATGCCTCCATCACACAGACCCACACCAGTTCCCAATTTACCACTGTATTCTGGAATACAGAGAGTTCTGGGCTCAGTTGAAATACTCTAATTCAATCAAACTATTTGAGAAGAACACAATGCTAGGAGAAGTTAGAAGTGTAAGAACCAGCTCTCTGCCTCTTTGTAGGTCAGGTACCACTCCAACAAAGGACAGTTTTATCCTTATAAGCATGTCAATGCTGAACACCAGAGAATCATGTCAAGGGATGAAGGGATATCATGTTAGTCGCTACTTTTTGCTAAAACCAGTACGGTGCTCAGAGATGCTAATGCATGTGATCTGGGTATATTTTTAGGAAGTAAGTACATGGAACAGACTTCAGGCACGGTACCAGGATCCCTGAGCTCACAAACTCATATGGCAGCTCTGCTTAGGGATGCCCATGCAGTACAATCCCACCAGCATGACATGACAGAGGTGGCCATTAGTTGCAGTGCTGCCAGAGAACTGGACATGGAACTTACACTCTATCTCCCCCCACAACCTGTGTGGTCATTACCAGCTTTCAGGCATCTGGTCCACCCTCTGTGCAGTTGTGCAGGTACACGGGCCACCTTACTGTCAACCCAGATTGGATCAGGAAGACCAAAGTCTTGGGCTTAGATCCCTCATTCATCATGTGAACAGCCTAATGAACAGGCTGGTCACTATGTAAGTGTGGATTTCTCATGGGAACCTGAAATACCCCTTTGCACTGGAGGTAACCACCATGTCTAGCAGAATAAAATGACAAACTTTCCCTGAGCTTACCTTATGCTTATAAACAATTTCATTTGGAAAAAAAACAGCATTTTTCAGACTTAAAACATTTTTCTGGAAACTTTCCCCTCTGTTCTCCTAAGTTACTTCTTGCTTGGCTTTTTAGTCTCTTAGATGAATGCTTAGACTGCTAGTAACAGCCATGACATGCTCTGTCATATTCTTACTGAGCAGAAGTGCTCTGTAAGTGCAGAAAAAACGCTCTGTAAGTACCGCTGGAAAAGGTTAGGATCTTCAGGAGGTGGTTTTCCCCACTGTAAGACAGTTGGATGAATCATTCCCTGGAGGAGTCTGCCCCTGTCTTTCCACTACACGGGAAGCCTGATTACCTGAGCCCAGGCACAGCTAAAATTAGGGAATCACCTTCAAATTAAATACTAATGAGCAGGGCACCATGAGCTCCAAAGTCACTTCATTTGTGATGGAAAATACCTAATAAATGGTATAGGCAGGCTATTGCTGATTCAGTCAGCTTCCATCTGATAATCTACAGGTACAGAGAGGTATTTTTAAAGACAGAAAGCCAGCTAGGACTACTAATCTTTTTTTTTTTTTTTTTTTTAATGCTCTTTGATGGCTTTCATGCAATTCTGATCTGAAAAAAACAGTCCTAGTTACTGACAGTAATACCTTGAAAAATCCAAAATAGCTTCTCAGATGAGTCAGCCCAAAATCACAGCGCTATTAAATCCCATGCATTTGATTGGGCCCAATTCAGAAATGTTTAGACCAGATTCTGATACAATTACTAATGTCAAGTAGCACTTCCGTGAATAATCACGCCGGCTGCAATTCAGACGAAATGCTATTTTTAACTATTCATATATCAAACAAAAAAAAAAAAAAAAAAAAAGAAAACTGAGAGAAAACAAGAAAAATGAGAGGAAAAAGAAAGAAAACTGATCACAAACAGGTCTTTTAATGAATCAGTAAAGTTCTATTTCCATTTCAAGTTTTCTGATATCCCTCACTGACTGTTATTTCATGCCTGTGCTTTTCTGAACTCTCTCGTAATGCTGGTAGCTCACTGTTCTGGTGACCTTGACCCAAGCTTAAATGCTGAATTAGAAGCTTCACAATACAACAAAGTTTACAACAAAAAAAATTACCTGATGTTGGTCAGCATTTTAACAGGGTTTGGTTTTTTTTCCATTTCTGTGAAATCAAAATATCAAACCCATTCCAACGTGTCTAAGGCACGACTTGGAGAGGGTCTGAGCAATCACAACTCCAGCTGGCTTCTACACCAAGGTAGGTGGTCAGCAGACCCAGGCTTCAGGTTTTGAAAGCTATTTTACGCAGATGAAGAAGACTATTCATTAACACCTTTTAGCACAGCAAGTGTCAAGGCAGGAGCAAATGCTTTGGCATTTCTTATAACAGCATTACTCATGCTGCCTTGTCTCATAGATTTGTGCTGTCCCCCTGAAATCAGTGCTAGTAGGGAACAGGTTGTGCAGAAGAAGCTGACCACCTTGTGATTTAGTCAGGACTTAGTTTTGCCGCCCTAATTCATGTTGGGCTACATCTTTTTTGAGGAAAACTGTTTCATTTCCACTAAGGCCTTTTGCGTAGCAGGTTACTGCTCAACAGAAACACAGAACAGCAGAAAAAAATGCCCTAAAAGGTCAAGTTATTTGCTGGTAAACCAGGAAGCTGCATTAGTGGCCAACTTGTCTAAGACCAATGTCTGTTTTCAATTCACATTACGCATCATTTCTCATGAAACAGAGACCTATTTACCAAGAAACCTTTCCACATGCACCAGTATATCATGATATTATTTAGGTTTTGTTTGGTTTTCATAACAAGGGAATTGCTTCCTTCAGTTACCGGGGTGTCCTATAGCACAATCAAAACCTGAAGATTAAAATGGGTCCTAAACTGCAGTCTCCACTGCAGGTGTGACAGAGAAAGCTCTTACCTAAGCATCTGCCACAATGATAAACAAGTTACCAAAAAAAAAAAAAAATAGCAGGAGGAATTTAATTTACAATGCATTTTGTGTAAATATTCCTTTGGTTCCACATTCCCATTTTCTAGCCTGGTGCATTATAACCATGGAGCTGTTAGACCTGATTGCATTACTTTGGTGCACTGGGAAAGAAAATCTCTTTATAAGTGTGGGAGCTATACTGCAAAAATTTTCTCCATGCATGACAGCCAAGCCTATTTATTTCAGGCTTATGAGTAAAGACTTTACAAATCCACTGCTTGTTCACACCAATATATTTATTTTAATTTATATAAAATGAGTAGATATGTTTTGGCTGGATTGGGCTGCTGATTCTCTTCAGTAAACCAGGAAGACAAATTAATTTCTTCTATACTGTGGTCCAACACGTCTGGTGCCTTGTGTTCAAACTGCAGTAATCCTATAGCAACTTTTACACAGGAGTTCCCAATTACTGGGACACTCATTTTGAGAACAAAAAGATATTTTGCTTAGGTTTGAATGCTGGTTACAGAATTGCTTGGTTTGACACAAAGAAAATACAGCTTCCTCAGCATAAACTCAAGCAGGCAGGTATTCATAATGTGTTTTTAATGGATATATAAATATCTGTCAATTTGGATTTCTAATGACCAGTCTGGCTTGCTGTGTATGCAAGAAAGAAAGCAAGCCTGGCTGTAGTCCCTTCCTAAGACACCAGTATGTCCCCATGCACGGTGGGAACATGTTCTTTGCAGACCCTCCTTGTTTACCCCCTTTTTCATCTTAGGATCCTGCTGACCCACTGGAGTGCATGGCTGGGGTTTATATTCTGCAGCTCTAGGCCTAACATGGAAGAGATTTGCCATCATGGTCTCCAGCATTCAGGTACCTGAGACACACATGGAAATTTGAGTTTTCTCTTGTGTGCTGCAACTGGGCACTGCCAAGAGAGCATCTGACAAAGCCATGGTCTGCCAGGTGTTTTTACTCTTCCAGGGGCTTTACAAGGGTACATTTCTTGTTTATCTGCTGCTACTCTCCTCCAAACATATCCTCTTGGAGGCCACTACAAACAACGATGTGATGCCTTGAAGCAAAGGCAGTGGGCAGCCCAGTCCACCAACAATGTCAGCCCTGCTTTGAGCGAGGGGGTGGACAAGTTGAAATCTAGATGTCCTGTCCAACCTGAATTAATTTAATTCTGAACACGCGATACGACTGTAAGAGTTTTATGATGTCTGAAAACTAGATACAACAAAATACCAGCATGTCCTTCCTGATGGAAAACCCCCCACTGTATCTCAGATATTATGGCTAGAGAAAAAAAACGGTACCTTAAAACATGTTTTTGTTCTTTGATTTTTTCCCTAGGAAGACAGTTAACATGTTTTGTTGGGCTTGGTTTGGTTTTACTCAGCTTTTAAACATCATGTGGTGGTAGTCCCCATTGCACGGTTTAGATTTGTTTGGTTTTACGGTCCGTTTGAGCTCCTCTTTGCTTTTTCGTTTCTAAACAGCCGCTAACTGCGGCTGGGGAGGGCATGACACAGATCCTACCATTAATCAGAGGAACTTCACTTTAGCGAATGGCATTTTCCAGCCGCGATAATTGCTCCTAACATGGTCACATGAAAAACTGTTTGTGGGCGTCCTCGGTGTCACGAGTTGCGATCAACCGTGCGTTGAGCAAGGTGGCTCATTCTCACACGACCATTAGATGATGTTCCTTTGAAAACTTTGCCAGCGGGCACTGTCTGGGGAATTACGCTTGAGGACTTGGTGAAACCTTTCTCCTATTAGGGTCTGGGAGAGAGGAACGTGTTGGGGCCAGGGGGCTCTGTTTGGATGACCTTCTAGGAGACACAGAAGGGAACGTCCAAACAGATAGCAATTTTTGATGCAGAGAACACATACCAATGGAGGTAACAGGACTGGAGTGTTGCAAGGCATCTGGAGGAAAAAATACCCAAATAGCTGGCATTGGCTAGATGTTGCTTTCCCATCAACTGGCAACAAGAATGATCTCTCCATTTCTATCAGGTTTTTCCCAGCAATGCTTTCTATCTGCCAGAGTTGTGACCCTACCTCGGCTTCACATTTCCTGACCCAAGAATATTCCCCATTGACCCTAATCAAAGTTATTTTGAGATGATAATGAATTAACAAGTCTCCCCAAGAAAAACGACCTATGGTTTATCTGGGTCACCCAACTCCGGGAAAACTGTGACCTCAGCAAACTTTCAGCAACTATTTCAAGAACATGCATTATCTTCGGTGCCTTTGTTATCTGAAAAAGGGGGCTGAATCTGGAACATATTTGTTCAGGACACAACCTATGCTGGATGTATTTAGAAATGTCATAGTTTGAATTTAGATAGCTGGTGAGCTAACAAGGTAAGAACTTAACCCTTCCTGGCACTCTTTCTCTTCATCTCACCTAATCTTCTGTCATAAGTATTAAATAGTCATTCTCCCAAATACACCCAATATTGTTGTATCGTTTTATACAAGCCAGTAAAGGCAACACTAGATAAATTTTCCCAGTGCTTGCCCTTCAATAATTCCACTTTAATAGCGCATTACCTACTAAATATCTTAGCTAACGAGACCGTTGTTTGTTTGCTTGCTTGCTTGCTTTTTAACTAGACTTATATGACAACTGCATGAGGTTTAATTGCAATGATAAATTTGGATTAAAATATTGGAAGGCATTTAATAGAAGAAGATTATGGGAAACACTTTATTTCCCTGCATAAATAAAAACAAATCTTAATGTCACAACAATAAGAATCATTTGGACTTTCAGTTTATGTCACTTTAACTTGAAATTTTGTGAGCGAACATTCACATGTCAAGTTTAAGAATTTTTGCCAACTCCATGAGGAATGCAATCGCATGTAGCCTACACAGTAGCCTCTAAAAAATCTGCAGGGATATGTGCTGCAGAGGAAAGCAGAGCAGATATGCTGGGGAGGACACCACCTGCAGCTGCATCCCCAGTGCCCCTGGACACCCTGTACCAGGCCAAGGGCTGGGGGCAGGTTTTCCTTAAATTCCCATGCAGAGCTCAAGGCTCAGCTGGCCGTGCCCTGGGAGAAGAGGAAAACACCCCAATTTGAACAGGGAGTGGTGAGGAAGTAGGAGAGATAAGGAATAAAAGGCAAAAGGCAGGTGCAGGGATGCTCAGGGGGAAGGGAGCAGGATCCAGCAGGGTGGATATAACCTAGGGCAAGGTCGGGGTTCAGCCCACAGTGCTTTCATTTCTACATTTCTCTGCTGCCAGGAAGACGAGTGGGCTTCAAAACTGGCCTAATGCTTCCAGTGATCCATCTAGAAGAGTGTTGCTTGCTCTCCTGTGTCCCATTAACAGCGGTGGAGATCTGACAAACTGGGCTGGTACTGATGTTGTCCTGCACGATGGAGTTTCAGGCTGTTCTGCTTATTTTAAGACACAGCAAATTATGGCTCAGCCCTCGCTGCTGCTCTGGGACTGAATCAGGGCTGTGCACTGAATGAAGTGATTGGTTGTGTGGTGTCTGCCTTATTTCTTTTAAAAATTGGAAGGGGATCATGGCCAACCACAATTCCAGAATTTGTAAACTGGCATCTGACTAGCACTGGTCTTACAGCAGTGGCTTGTTTAAGCAATTATAATGTAATTTCTCACTTTGCAGCGCACAACATAGTTTGCTGCTCACTAGCCTCATTAAGAAATATATTGTGAAAGAATGAAAAGAACAGACCTGATTTCTAAATGTTGTTCTATGGGCCAGAATAGTTACAGCGTAGTACCATGCTTTCTTCCGTCAACTGCATTAATTTTTGGCTACTGCTTTTAAGCAGAGCTGCCAAAAAAATATTTAGATCCTAGGGACATTTGTAAGCCCTGCAGGGCTCCCTTACCTCATTCAATCATCTTTCTCACACATATAGAGATGCACATTTTTGCTGACTTCAGGGGCATTCATATACCCAGCAAATCATCTCTGTCTGATCCCATCTGAGCAGCTCTGTTTTTATTTATAATAATCCTTGAATTTTCAAGGGAGTATACTAACATTCAGCTAACCCTATTTTTACTAACCCAGATTTAAAGAAAAAGGAGGAATCGTTTTTGGAATAGAACGCACTCTAAGAAGAAATAATTTAGGATGTTATTTACCTTATGGATTGACTTAAAAATAGATCTTCTGATGTAAGTGGGTTTTAAACCTGTGTTTTGGAGCAAGTTGGTGTTAAAAACTTAATAAAATACTGGCTTATTCAGATATTAAAAGCAATTATGTAAATGTGAACTGTTGTTATCTAAAATAATTAAGTAAAATACCCTACATATAGCACACCCTTGATCAGATGACAGCTACTGGACATACTAATCTTAATGCACTTTAAAATAAATGGAAGAGAGTCCTGGAACTCACAAACTCTGCAGAAAGTTTCCTTTAGCTGCCTATACCATTTCAGCCACAAAAACATCCTGATCTGGTTACTTCACCACCAAATTTGATCATGCAGACAAATTGGAAGGCAAAAATCTTCACTGGCCAAGTTAGAAAAATCAATATATTAAAAAAAACCCTGTATGGCACAAATCATGACATAAAAAGCCTATCATGTTAGAAGCTGCACATTTAGAGCACGCTTTTGGCTTATCTTGCCTTGGAAATCCAAAGATTAAGGTTAACAAGTGATTCTGAGTACGTTTGGAGCATCACAGTATCTAAGAAATTAAGCACATCCTGTGAAATACTACTGCAAGCAGCCAATCAACGTGGTGTGAAGGTGGAGAGACGTTCACTGAGAGAAGAGGAGAGAATTGCCTCAGCATTGCAGTGAAATATGCAGGCCCTTACCTTCAGGGAAGCAATCTTCAGGCTCCATCAGCTCCTCAGCAAACTCAGGGATCTGCTCCAGCAGTTCTGCAGGATTTGTCAAATCCACTGTGCTGCCTTCAGAGAGACTGATTTCATCAAGCTTGTTGTCAACAAGAGCAAAGATGAGGAAAACAAATTGATCAATTGCCCTGAAGGAAGTAGCTGAGTTTTTGTTCCGCTAACCAATACCCCAGCTAAAGCCACCACAACAGAGACATTGCCATGCACTTCACACGGTGCCCAATCCTCAAGTGACAGCTCTACCTACCCTGTGGTGATCTAACAGTTGACCCATCAACAAGAACAACAACAAATTAACATGTAAGACTTACTTTTTAAAGGGAAAGAGATACAAACCATAAAAAGATCATGGACTGAATATTAATAGTAGGTGGAAGCTTGGAATGACTGAACCACTCACGATTTTAAGGCTTGCATGTCCTCAAGGCTCACACCTTTGGATGGGCGGGATTAGAAGTGGGGACCTAGCTCCTGAAATGCTGAAGGATGAATTTGAGGACCTGCGTTGGGTTCCTGTCTCTGGGGCCTCATTCCTGAGGTTCTTCACTCTCAATTGGTGGGTGAAATTTGCACCTTGTTGGTCAGGACTTGCTCTGCTCCCTGCTGCCACAGCTTCTCCACTGAGATAAGTCCCTCTTTCACCAGGATCTGGTCACAGGCACAGGGTCTATGCCACAGGCACACGCATGTAAGAGGGTTCTTCTACCTGCCTCATCCCAGGGCTAACTCATTCCCACCACAGTATGTGGCCCTTAGCCTTTTGGCCACACACTTCTGGTCCCAAGGTGATGCAGGAAGAGGGACACATGGCTTTTGAAGGCCTTTCAGATGCTCAATCACTTTCCTGAAATATTTGACACCACCACCTTAGGTGCGTTGTTTAAATTCAGTGTTTCTCAAATCCTCCTCTGGAAAACGGGGACAAGAATAATCCCGCTCCCTGAAGCATTGATTGTCTTATCTATTTAGAGCAGGAATCCTCAAGTAGATCTGGTTAAAAATTTCTGGGGAACAGATTATTTTCAAAAATTGTTTTAAAGTCTATGTAAGAAATTAGGTTGAATACAGCAAAGGAACTTGATAAAAAACTTATGTTGTAGTTGGAAATTTGGCTGAATTTGATATTAAAAGAGATATGCTACATGTTTAAATAAGTCACCCAAATATGAAATAGAAATGTCATTTCAGGTCAAAACTTTATTTTAACAGAATTAAAACATTTTCTTTAGAATAAAACGGGATTTTTTCCATAATTTATTTTACTAAACAAAATAAAATATTTCTGTTTTGTATTAATCCAAAATTATATTTTACTTGATTATTGGCCACTAAAGTGAAAGATCTAATATTTGCCAGCCCTGCTCACAGTTTTTTTTGGCTGTATCAGAGCTCTACCTAGCACGGCCACTAAAGTGAAAGATCTAATATTTGCCGGCTCTGCTCACAGTTTTTTTTCGGCTGTATCAGAGCTCTACCTGGCAAAAGTGGAAAACACCAAAGCTGGTGTCTTCTATGTGTCATATCAATGCAAAATAACTATAAGCAGGAGTCAGGAGAGGTGGGCCCTTGACTACTTACTGAAATATTTTTGTTCTTTATCTTCCAACAGTATTGTCTCCATTTAAAAAAAAATGAGGACAATTATACTTACCCAGGCTTTTAAACAACCTGTGAGATAGTTATATGAGAGATGGCACGTACACATAAAATATTATTTTCATGAGGATGATGGTGATGGAGTTAGAGAACAGGTACAGCTTTATATATTTATTATTAATGTGGAAATGGGCCCTCTGTTTTCCGGTATACACAGTCAATGCAAAATTTATAGCTGAATTCAGAGAAATGCTGAACCTGGGGTAAAATGGGCAAGATTAAACATTCCAGCAATGCTTGCAAGTGGGGATGGAAGCTACTTGTTTGCAATTAGCTGTAGCATCCAGAAGGTCATAGTCTTGGCTAGGGTTTTTAATGCTCTACTCAAAAAGGACTGCAAACAATCGAGAAGAGACCTTTTAAAAAGAGAGTCAGAACAGAAAGCACGGGTCAAAGACATGGCTAAAGCTTCTAAAAAATCCATATTCAGAATGCAGCTGTCGTACAGAGCCCATTTTCTACAGACTGCCAGGGGTATATGATGGTGGAAAAATGATGGAAAAAAAATGTCATACCAAGTTTTAGCACAGTCAGAACTTTCTGATACTTTTCATTAGGGAATGCATTTAGTCATTATCTGTTCTCTTATGAAGACGTCAAAACACACATCATTGAAATGGTCCTAAATCATATACAGCTGTAAGATGTAGAAAATAGGGGTTCCAATGAGAAAAGAAGCCTTGTTCGATATAATTCCTACCAATAGACAGAAATCAAAGAAAACTGAGAACAACGTCAGCTCAATAGCATTGTCACTGAGAGAGCTGTATTTAGCAGAGACAGGTCAGGAAATTCATAGAACACAATACAGTGCAATTATAATAGGCTACAAGGAAAACATCTTAAAGAATCAAGAATTCTCCAGAGTTATTTATGAGGAGGGGTTTTCAGAAAATATTAGAATCCATCAGCATCAAAGGGAGATAGGGAACATGCAAGACAAAACAGGATTTCTTCTGAAAAGCTTTCAAAGAAGAAGAGGCAGCGAACACTGATTCAGAAAACACTAGACAAAGGTTTGAGGGTCCGAACTGGGACTAGAAAAAAGAGGGAACCATATGGATGAGAGAGGAGGGAAAGATTAGGAAAGCTTGTAGGAAAGAAGCCAAGGTTACTCTCTGTCAAAAAGGTTAAAGGTATTAAGAAGGTTTTCATGAACTCAGTAATGGAAAGAAAAGAGCTAGAGACATAATAACAATTGATGAGGGAGATGTAACTAATCAAAATTCAGTTGCCTAAGAAAATAAACTCTTTTTAAAAGAATCCAACAAGGGGATCAATAAAAAGGAGGGGAGGGCGGGGGGAGAGAGCCTGTTAGAATTAGTACTAATGTAAGTAGAGAAATATCTAGAAAGCCTGAAACATATGTAAATCAGCAGATCCAGACAAGGTGCATTGTAGGGCATAAAGAGATCCGATACACCAAGTTAACACACCATTAGCAATCAATAGTGAATGCTCATGGAAAACTGGAAACAGCCCAGGAGAGCAGCAGTAGAGTAAACACAACACTGAGCTTAGAGAAGAGGAAAAGGGAATAACCATGGGAATCACAGATCACTAAGCACTTGCCATAGCCTGTGATTAAAGTAAATTAAATAAAGACTCAGAGGAGAAAAGGAGAGCGCTTTGTTGGGAGTGAAATGTCATAGAGACGTAAAGGCAGTGAGGTGGCTCTCCTTTCTGCTACCGGTACCGTGCACAGACAGGGTGCAAAGAGGACGAGACAGAAAAAAGGACAATATGGAATGTCCTCTTTTCTTTCTTGGAGTGAAGGAGGTGTACAAGGCAGAGGCAACGGGACCCATCAGAAGTCCCTTTTTGGAGACCTCCCACTAGTGCACAAATTCATGCTGCAGGGGTCAGTTTTTAACGAGTTTCTGGGTGGAGGGGCTGTTTTAAGCACCCTGGCAGGGCTTCCACACCCATTGCTTGTGTCTGCAGTAGTGGCAAAAATGATCTGAATGGGTCTTTCAAAAAGCCTTTAGCAGTGAGATGCTGAAATCTCATTGAAAGTTTGATGTTTGTTCAGGGCTTAACTGTCTTATCTCCCTTCCTCTCTCCCTCACCTATGAAGATCACAGCCTTAATCTATCAAATTGCCATATGATATATAAACCTTAAGAAAATATCTGGATGTCTGCTATAGAAAAGTCTACTTTTGAAATAAATTTTGATTGGCTTGGATTCACCCATTGCTCCGTGGAGAAAAGCCATCCTAAGGACCCAAATATAACACAAACTTTGTCTTCAGAAGAGGAGATCTATAGGGATTAGAGCCAGCATTATCTTCACTAAAGATATAGAAGAGGTACTGACCGATACAATCCTCGTGTTAGCCGATAATATTAAATTGGAGAGAGTACTGAAACCAAGGAAGCAGAAAGGAAAAAAGAAGTGAAACATGGAGAGAATATAGCAAAAGGGGACTTGACTCAAAACAGTACAAATGAGAGAGTTCCAGGAAAATTTCAATGGCAATCCTGGAAACTTGGAGTAATATTAAAAAATTAGATGTGATTTTGCAGTGGGATATAACAATGCAGAAAATCTATATGGAAGTGTCTTTTCTAGATAACGAGATGCTACTTCCTCTCTTTGCTTTTGTGAAAGTTGTATTTGGAATATTGTGCTTACTTCTTGGCAAAAAATCCCCCTCCTAAACGGGACAATTGAGGGAGTTGCAAAGAAAGAGGTAAAAAAAGTCAAATAAAGGGCACAGAGACACTAATTTAAAAGAAATAATGAAATGAAAGAACAGTGGCATGTGATTTCAGGGGGTAAGCCAACGACAAAAGGAAGCAAACAACAGTCTATTAAATTAAGTGATATTAATTCATAAAAAGAGAATGATGGATAAAATTGGTAAAAGAGAGTAATGAATTGATACTTAGAAAGCGAAAAAATAAATAAAAAAAAATGGCTGGGTAATAAAGCAATATACTCAGCCATAAAATTTTTTTCCAAGTAAGTGAATTGTTCACTTTGGTAAATGAAGAAATCTAAGTTGCCTGATATGTTTAAAGGTAGATTCCACAAAGCTGTACAAAATATTTTATGGGACAGCATTTTGGCAGAGAAATCAACCTGTTTGTTCTCTGAGGTCTTATCCACCTGTGACATCAATTATTTTATTGCTATGGTGTTTTTCTGGTGATTTATATTGGATGAATTTTTAATCATATAATGTATCCTTTCCTGACATCAACAGTGTTTTATTCAGAACGCATTCAATGCTTCCTGTTATTGACTGAATCACTCAAAGCCCTGCCTCTTGGGCATACCAAATCTGTTAAGTTACTTCCTTGCAGTTGCTGGTTTTATTTGGCTAGTCTCAAGTTCTTGGGGCATTCATCAAAAAGATGATTAGCATGTTTTGTGTGCCGGCACAAAGATTACTTCTGAATAGGAGGACTGTAAGTATGTAACATCCACACAAGATCTGGCCCTCAAAAATAGCATCCTTTGGGCTTTGCTCTTTCATGTTGGCATTCATAGCCTCATGTGAACTTCCGTTTGACTTCAAGTCATCCCTGGATTATTGCCATATTCCTCCACCTCTTTCTAAGCAGCCACAAATAGAATCAATTATACTCTACTATAGAAAGGTGACATTTGTGTCCCAGGACCCTTTGAAAGTTGAGGGAGGAAATGGGGATTATTTCTTTATCACGATGTTGCTGAATATATCAAGGTTAGAGTGTTCCTGTTTTATCATGACATTTCATTATAGCACTGACAAAGGACATAGTTTTCCAGCCTCTGTGTTAGGAGCACAGGGCTTAGTTATCTCAAAAAGATGTTTAAACATGAAGGATAACTAATCTCCTGAGAGAAAAAATCCTGGAAGGGTCTTCTAATTTCTCCTAGTTATAGTGCTTCATCTCATTATTTTAAAGTTTGGGGTTTCTTTGGTAAATATATATATTTTTTTTTTCCTGAGACCGGGATGTCAAATATTAGACATCTTAGATACTAGATAGAAATTCTTTGCTGTATTGGTGAGGCAATGGAACAGGTTGCCCAGAGAAGCTGTGGATGCCCCATCCCTGGAAGTGTTCAAGGCCAGGCTGCATCGGGCTTTGAGCAACCTGCTCTAGTAGGAGGTGTCCCTGCTCATGGCAGGGGGGTTGGAACTTGATGATCATTAAGGTCCCTTCCAATTCTAACCATTCTATGATTACAGTTTCCATCCTTTAAATTTACCTCCTTTTCTTTCTGGAGATGAAGTTCAATATGCCAAGAAGTATTCTGGCAAGGAGGATTGCTCCTTAAAGAAATCCTTCATGGATAGAGGATTTCTGATTACTGTGAGAGGAATTTAGCTCACCTAAATGCACAACTCATCTCGTTACCCTGAGCTCCCTTTATAGTCAATGGAGAGAAACAGGCACTTCTAGAAGATGATTCATCTGACCTAATTTAAATGTTGATTTCGTCCAGAGATGAGACACATTTACCTAACTACATTGGCTCCAGATCCTCATTGACTATAAAGAGGCCTTAGATGACAAGTGCAGATGCAGATGTCTATGTTTAGTTCAGTAAATTCTACCCTATATGACAATATGAATCAGCAGGCCTGGAGAATATGAACTCTGGCTTTTGTGATGGTGTCCTAGTGTCCTGTCAAGATTTCTGCATGGGACTGCTCCTGCTGGGCACAAACTTGCCAGCAGTTTTATAGCAGAATTGGAAGAGGTGTGATGCATGTTGAAACTGTGTCATCCTTTCCCTTTCATTAATTCATCCCCCCCGAATAACCACTGGTTCCAATCTCAAGGAGCTGTAGAGTCCCAGACTCCCAGGACACCACCCAGAACATCCAGTTCCTGATTTCAAAGAGAGGAATCCATCTCTCTCTAATAATAAAGGCAAATTTATATGTCAATAAAATGCTAAATCTGAATGGGAAAAACCCCTAAGAAATCAGCAAGTAGGATACAGGGAATTTAAAGCCTGGAGTCACTCACGTACAGTACAAATACATGTATTTTTAGTCATGTTTATAACAACAGCATCATCCTACAAATTGAAAATGTCAGTGTGTACACATCAAGAAACAATGAGTGAGCTGCACTTTGGCAAACATCAGACGAATGATACCCAGGCTTATTAGTTAGTATCTTCATGTCAGCTACTTAAACTGTTGCACCTTTCTTGGGTCTATGTGCTAACCCAAAAAGAAATGGTAATCTGTGACAGATAGCAGATGCCTTCCAGTGAACTCCAGGTAGAGATCTGCCAAGTCAACAGATGCCATACTTAGAGCTACTTTTCAGTGGGAAAACACACTCATACTTGCTCCTAAGATAAGACAGTAACATTACAGATGATGATGTGATTATTTTTTTTCCCCAAGCCTCTTGGAATCCCATCTCAATTTATAATGCACATTTTCCAGGCTTCCCAATTATTTTTGTCATTACAGATGATGATGTGATTATTTTTTTTTCCCCAAGTCTCTTGGAATCCCGTCTTAATTTATAATACAAAAATAATTGGAAAGCTTGGAAAATGTGCAACAACAAAATCCTCTCTGCTTTTTACTAAGACTGTAATACTCGCTACATACTTTTGCTTTCCTACCACTTTACAAACACATATTTTTGCAAGCCGTAACCCCCACATAAATCAGTGACATGCACTACGGAGATGGTGCAATAGGTCGCATGCAGTATCAGGTAGGAAAGTTGTTTCTGTTACCTCTTTTTGCCCTACTGGAGGTGGTGGCTCAGCCTTCAACTGCTTATCCACGTGCAACTCACTTAACTCTTCACAAATCTCAGAGTTCTGACTCCGGGCGCCTGGGCTTTGGCATCGCTGCCCCCTCAGCTGGAGCTGTTTTTCCTGCTGGAAATAATCCTAGATGGGTTTATTTTCTTTTTCTTTGATAGCATGCTTATTTCTTAAGGAGAACTCCCCGGCTAGAAGAGAAAATAGCCTGGACTATACTTGTCAGGGGACAACATCTTAAGGAAAATGGCAAGAAACAAGATAACACAAGCTTATGCTGTAACTCTCGAGCTTTAGCAACTGGATATGTCAAGATATCTGGATGTAGAAAATGGAAATACAAATAAGCCAACTTTTTTTCTGAGCTGCTGTTGATGGATAGGAGGAAATACCCTTCCAACCTCTACTTTGAGTCTGGTTTTTGAGACATGAGCTTCCTCCAGTGACCTGAGGCGCACAGAAAGGTGTTTGCAGTTGAGTCGAATAACCGAGGGGTGTACTCTGAAGCCGCGGGGATACTCAGTGTTACAGCTGGAGAAAGGCAGGAGTGCAATACCCAACGCTCTGCTGTGAATCTACCTGAGACAGTGTGGAAAAAAATGCACCCAGAGGAGACGAGATACACATCGAAGGGGAGGAAAACACAAAGTTCTCAGGGAGAGATAAAAGGTATCTAAAAGCAGATATGGAAAAACTGCAGATAAACACGTAAACGTATGCGGCTCCTATTCAGCAAAACACTTAAGACTACTTTGCACCCACTGATGCCAACGAGACTGAACCACAGGTTGAAAGGAGAGTGCATCCTGAAGTACTTCACTAAAAAGGGATGGACTCTGGAATCAGAGCAATTTTTTTTTTTTTTTCACTACAAACACATCTGACTAGACCCAGTGCTTGCTAGTATGAATGGTGCCATTAAATCCAGCCACTTTTTCCTGGGGTGATGATTATTGCAGGTGAGCTCTCTACAAGTACCCCCAGGACTAATGGCAGAGGAGAGTATATCTGCAGGGTTGGTCCCTACATCTGGAGACCCAGGTTCTTTGCTGGTGTAAATCAGTGTAGTTTTATTGATTCACCTGAGGCAGGGGTTTCTCTGAAAACTCCATAGCTCATCACAGCACTACCATCGTTCATGCCATTACTAATGCTACTACTAAAATATTAATAAAACTCTAGCTGGTTTCAAAGGCTTGTGTTGAATTGCTTACAGAAGGACTTCCATGCTGAGAAAAAAATTACAAGCATAACAGGATTTCAACAGTAATTATTTAAACCTTTTTATCTTTCCCTTGTCCCCCTTTTTTTTTTTCCTTGGCTTGACTGACATTCAACGTTATTCATGTATTAAGCGAGTTTCCCTTCCCCAGGGAGCCGCAGCCTACCCGCCTCAGTTCTAAAGCCACATCACCACAGGAAGTCCCTCAAGAGGTACCAGGAGCAGAAAAACACTTTATTCCAAATATAACTATCTGAAAGAACAGATGACACAAAGGAAGCAGTTGGTTAAGCAAATTGCTCTCCGTATAAATGCTTTCGGACTGTCAGGTTTGTACCAGTCCTTTCAAATGTCGTTCTGTGTTTCTAGCAAATTAATTTAAAATCAAATTACTTGTTTCCTGCTTCAGAGGGCATGTGGTCTAAAATATATTCTAACTTTAATAAATTAAATTATGCACGTCCAAGCCTGTATCCTCTGCATAAGAATGTATTACATACAATTTCTAGGCACAGTTTAGCACTGATCTTCACGGGCCAGAGATTGCTCCATAATCATCGAGTTACAGTTCCATCCCTTGTCAAAAAGTGACACTCTTTAGGGCACATCTTTGGAAATAGTGTAATAGTCAGGGGAGAAGCTAATGTGGAAGGCATAGTATGCACAAGTAAGGCGCTCAGCCATAAAAAGGGCTTTTTTTAATGCAATGTGCATACAACATAGCACCAAGTAATCTTAATGGCATGATATTGGTTATAGCACTAAAACAACAGAAACAATTGTTTCATGTTAAAAGCGCAATGCAATCTGAGGTGACATCTCAAGTTCATTTGTGCAGAAAGGTTGTGCACTCAGATTCATTAGAAACTATGCAGTGTATGAGAACAGACTGTGTAGATCAGTTGATCTGACGAACACTCAAGTTGTTAAACAAATTATCGCACTAAGCCAGAGTCGAATGCCAAACTTACACTGAGTCTCTATTTACTAACCCCTCTGTGTGGTACCAAGACTTAGCAACACTTTCCTAGAGACTAAACTCCAAGAAACATGGACACAGCTACTTCCCAGAAATCATCGTTGTACCAAGTATTTGATGAGTTAACATTAATTAAAACTGATGAAATATATCCTGTCAAATTATCCAGTGGGGAAAACAGGCGCGTGTACTCAGACAACAATTTGGTTCGTCACCATGTGCTTTCAGACTTGTCTTGCAAATTTATAAGGTGGGAGAAAATCCTTAAGAAAAACAGACTCTTCAAAAGAATCTGGTTTTATAGATTGATCCCAAAAGGAGTGTTAGGGAACCAATTGAGTTTTTGCAAACAACTGATGCCAGCCCTGGTAAGCCACTTTCACAGGATGCAATGGTCCCATTTCCAGCACACAGCACCTGAAGATCAGCACAGACCTGTCTGGGGAAAGGTGCCTTTGGTTTGTGCTGTTTAACTTCGGACTGTTTGCTTTTGTTCTGATTCCAGATGATTCGTTCTTCTGGCAGCAACGGCAGCAGGTTTATCTCCTGTAAAGCTCCTCACCGTGGGTGGTTTATATAATTTGTTTTTAATTTTTGTATCAAGTGCCACGTTGCCAAGGCAATACACATTATGTTAATATTTATTGATTCAGTTGTTTTCATAATTTATAAAGTAAAACCATTCAGCTTCGCAAAAACTTCGTGCATGCAAATGGAGGGCTGGGAGCCCAGGACAGACCTCAGCTCCTTTAAAGCATGAACCAAAAGTTTTCTCACCTGTGCTCTGATCTGGGCCCTAAAAAGAGGTGATCTGCCAACACCACACCAGTAATTAACACGTGGAGGAGGATGGACCCAGTGTTGTCCCCTTGCATGCTGCGGGTCAGTTGTAGCACCAGAAAAACAGCAACCAGATTGAAAACAGAGCATAATCTGGGTGACATCTCAAGTGTGTTTGTGCACGGACCCACATACTTGTTTGCTGACACAAATAAATACAAAGGCTCCACACTGCATTCTGCCTCTGAAAAGCACAGATCGGCTAATTGTTTCAGGCTCGAATGGGGATTAGTGCAAATGCCACTCCTTTGGAAAGCGGACTTGCTGTTGGCAAAACAAGACAAATACCTGTCATCAGCACGGATTCACTTTACTCCTTCCCCGTGGAAATATAATTTTTTCCATCTTGTGCAAACAAATTTAGAAAGAGGATCCTAGGACTTGCCTTTCGGATGGCGATCGGCTCAGATGGGTTCTCCTGATGCTTCATTCACTCCCCAGATCACGACCCCGGCTTGTAACATTTGTTCCCCGATTCCTTGGCCACAGTTGTTGTGGGAAAGATGACGTGCAAAAGCCTTTGATAGCAGGAAGCTTCCTCTCTGAAGCAAGTGGGGAGGCAAGAAATGGGAACTGGCTGTGGAGCCCTCCCCCCTTGCAACTGTCACTGCAGAGCCAGGATGAAGGATTTGGCATGATAAAGTTAATGTAAGTTATTTTATGAGGTGGACAGGGTATCCCCTGTCTCTTGTGAGCCAGTGCAAATTCAAACTGCCCTTTACACAGTCCAAAGTGCAATGGGAAGCTTTAACCCTATGCATCTTCTCTGCTTCCTACCAGGCTCACGCATCTCTGTTCCTCTTTGACAACCAATTTTGAGACATGAATGAGATTTCATGGATGTCCAAGTTCTTCAGTCATTTTCAAGGAATGAACTGGTCAGGACATTTCCAGGAGCAGACTCAGAGCTGCGGGAGCTTCTCCTGGTTACCATACCTACAAGTCTGCACACACTTGGCCATACAGCTGGGACCCTGCTTTCCCATGGGACACTGCCCATCAGAGGAAGCATCAGCAGCAGACAAGGATGCTGGCAGCAGAAAAATCACTGCTTTAGCCATTCATAAATGACTGACACTATGAAATTGAGCCTCCCTGAGCAATGTAGCTCAATAGAGCAGCAATTAGTCCTTTAATAGGTGACAACATATTTTAACCTGCAAAGCTTTCCATAGCCAGTTTTTGGATATGAAAACCATATTAGAGGTCAGAGGAGCTTTTCATGTGTAGTAAAACCAGTTCAGCAGTATGTGACACACATGGTTACAAGGGGACTGTTTACTCTAAGGAGTAATTATTGATGTTTATGTTCCTCCTTGCATACAGCTATGGATTTCATAAAATTACCATGCCTGGTAGCAATTGGCATCCTTTCTCAGCAACAGTTTGTGTCTAGTAACTGGCACCCTTCCTCTGCAAAGTAGCCAAGAAGTAAATGATGGTGAAAACTGAACTGTTTATATCCTACCTCTGCATAAATGGAGAAGCAAGCAGATTGCAATGCTGCTGAAATACGGCGAGCTTGCATTTCTGCCTGGGTGGCACCTGTTTCGTGTGTAAACAGGAGACTACAGTCTGCAGAGCTGCCGGGCTGACAACTCTCAGATATGCTGAATTCAGTCTTTCTGAAAAGTCTTGAAAAATCTGAGCTAAAATGGGAGAGAAATAAATAACTGTGAACCGGGGAAACGAATCGTGGGTTCTTATTACCAGAACAGATCGTTTATGATTTTGGTTCTCCTCTTCCACAAATAAATGTAAATCCTTGTAGCACCAATGAAATCAGTGGACTTATCTTTCTGCACGTTTAGCATGAGAAGAAAAATCACCAAATACATCAGGAAAATCCCCTTGCTTCCTTAATACAAGAAGGGGAAGATTAATATCACTTATTCTGCTAGGAATAAAAAAGGGCTGGTGTGCAGCTGTCAATTTTAAGTATGCACATTTAAGAATCTCTCTAACCCGCTTTGAAGAACTGCTTCTGTAAAGCAGAGTTGCCGCTACTCGATTTAATGAGAAATCAGAGGAAAACCTGGAGTGATACCACACTACAGCAATAGGATTATAGCTAAAACACAGAGAGGA